CGTTTCGGTGGTCATTGAAATAGTATGGACGGGGTCCTGATTAGATAATGCCAAAACGATGTACTTTTCTACACTGTCTAGCATAGCACTTATGTTGATCCGTTGTTGACTTGATCGTCTACTGATATCAAATCGAATTTACGACTTCACGTGCATTGCTAAAATGACAACCGCTTACTTGAGCAGGAGATTATGGACGAACGGAATCTTCGAAAAGGAGTAACTGTTATATTCAGACGCTTCTCAGGTATTCCTCTACCGCCAACTCAAACCCCTTTGCTTCCAGTATCTGAAAGCCAGACTAGTACCTAATGTAAAGTTGTGTAGCAGCCAAGTTGGTTGGGACCACAGCGTTAGTAAAAAAACATTCAATTTATAATAATTTGACTTGAGCCAGAATTTAAGATCATATGACGGCCATTAACACAGGTGTTCGCATCCCGGTAGACCAGCAACATATTAATCAAAAACTAGAAAATTGGGCCTTGCCACGATTAGAAATTGGGATTCCGGACAGTGACGTCCAAGGATCCTAAACTAATCCGAGAACAGCATACGCAAGCTTTTGTAGCCAGTAAAATGGCTTTTAGATGAATGTATTAAGTGCGACCGTAAGAACTGAGATGGATTTTCAGAACAATTTAAGCACAGTTTCAAACAACGTTATCGATTACCAACAGCTTGCGGTCTCACAAGTCTATATCTATATAGTACACAAGAAGCTCAGTGTCTCTAGGGTGCGTTCTAAGCAGCTAAATTCAGTTACATACGAACACTGACAAAATTCGTCTGCTAACGAAGGGCAACGAATAATTTATATTTTCGTCAGAACTGCCTCGAAAGCTATACCGTTAAAGCGTTATAAACATGGCTCCAGCTCTATTTTGCATTAGTGTCCGGTTATACAATTTCGGTGTGATAACATTTTACTTTGAATCCAACATTTCCTGTCGCGTTATTACTGAAGGGATATTAGACGTTATAGAATTTACCTTTATAATTTGCATTATTTATTTTAGAGCTGTACTATCGTTATAGTTCATCATGTATTTCACACATACACACGATTACTTAATTCAGTTAATTACAACCAGTTATATATATATATATAGCATGCCTGCCCGTTGGCCGGCCTCGGCCTGTTTCGACCACAACGTCTGTCTAATCTAATGCTACCGGCTGAAACAGGCCGCGATCCAATGATGTTCTGAAACTTTATCTCTGACTCTGCCGCGTTAGATAGGAGCAACAGTGCTACGCTAAGGAGATAAGGCCCGCAGAGAGCAGATGGTCCAGCCGCCGTCTGGCCACATCTGCAGCGGCAGTGTTGTAACTCGTCGTTGTAGAATGAACGAACGAACGAACGAACGAACGAACGAACGAACGAACGAACGGACGGACGGACGGACGAACGAACGAACGACTACGGGACGCTCATACCGCCTAACGGCCCAAACAAACACTTTGAATACATTCACCAGCATCATCAACTACCTGCTGCCTCTTCTATCGGAGCTTGTTCTGGCCTTACCTGCCAGATTATATAATACTGTAAATACTGAGTGACAATATCGGTGCGTCGGCTCTTGCTGGCCGCTGGGACAACAACGCCATGGGAACATTGTGGGAATGATTGCTCGAGCTTAATATAACCGTCGCGCTTCTCGTACGACACCTAACAACTCCAGACAAAAAAACATGCATAAGAAATAATTACACCAGTCATTATGTACACCGTGAGCGTTCTCTTTAGTTGTTATTATGAGCTTTAACCAAAGGACAAATTCGCTTTTACGTGAACGGCCTGTTTTTATTATAAATAAATGTATGTTTCTAATGGTGTTATACAGGTCCTTGTCCGCTGTTGTATGCACCAAACCAAGCGCCCATTTGCATGTGGACAAAAACACGACGCAGGCAGAACTAGAGATTCGTTCAGATAACATTTTACAGTATGCCTACTCACTCATTTAGAACAGAACAAGATTTAGCAATATCCTTTATGTGAATTGTTTGTACAGAAGGTCAAAGCAAAGATATGCTGCAGTAATGTAAACGATAGTATATAAAGAACAGGTTGGAGTCATTAACGTATCATGCATCAAGTACATGTCAGGAAAAGATCAGGCGCATCGAAGGATCAGGTGTGCGTCATCTCATATCCATAATTCTGTCACTAGGCGCGTCCTCAGTCATTGTCAGTAGTGGCCGCTCCTATGCCTGACCGATTTAATATTTATTGCTGTTAGAGCATTACAATGATAACTAATTGAGTTCACCAATTTCTTGCTTTGTAACTCTCAATGTACCTTTTAATCCTTATAAACACGAAAGAACTCACGACACCAAGGTGCAGATCGTCCATTGTAAATGAGCAAAGTTTGAAAAACGTAAGGTCAGTCCTCAACGACATGCAGGTTCCATCTACCAATCAATACTTATTAACTTAAACCGTTGATAGACTGTCGTTGCTTGTCAAAACAGCGATCGTAGAGCGGACTGATGAGAAAGGCTCAACGTATTTGGTTTTTTGCGTACTTACATTTTAGGTAATAAATAAGCTCTCGAATGCGTGGGCACCGTGAGATGGGTAGAATTGGGTGGGTTACTAATTCTACTACGTCTGCATACCTCGTTGCTCTATCGTAGATTGATTAAGGGGCTAGATGATGACACGTCGTTCAATGTCTGTATTGCGGTAACAACGGCAACGGAGACGCCCACACGAACATGGCGCTCGCCTGCGACGAAGCGGGTCGTCGCGACGTTGCGTTCGCCTCTTGGATGCAATGATTATAAAGCCGGTAGATCAGCGTACGTACATGGGTCTGTTAGCCACGTGCTCTTACCGGCTTATACCTTCAACGAAGCCAAATTGACATAAAGGCGATCGGAAACTTTCTTCTAGAGGTATTAAAATGCAACATTTAGGGAGCATCCGTTAGTAGAGCTGATCTCGAACTGAGTCCTTTCAAGCAGATGACCTATAGACAAGAGAAAGGGGTGGTCGATGTGCAAATTAAATCAGCCGTGGCAGCAGTACTAGACAAATGAAGCTATATGAAGGAAACAGCTGGGTAGCGTCCGATAACCCATACAGTAATTAGCAGTAATTAAGTAGGGAATGCCTTTGCGAGCCAGTGTACGATGACGTCAACGACTACAGGAGATATAGGGTGTACAAGCACTACGAGATCGTCTAGACGATCAAATCGGAATAGATATTATTCAACTAGGCATTCAACATCATATATATTGTCAATCAATATTGACACACTTGTAGCCCCCTATACGACTGATAATAAATGCATATTCCTTCCAATTATCTTTGCCATAAAAGTATGTTCAGCTTCTCTGAATAATATTTTCCCTGCAGGTTCGCCTCAAGTTCCCATACGGCGCATCAATGTACACGAGAAACAAATGTTACTTTCTCGCTGCCGGTAGGTGCATATAATGAGTGGCAATCGTATACGCTGACTGTCGCTAAAAGCAAATTAACAGGGAAATACAGATTGGGTGTTCATCGAACGGTGTACCCGATTTAAGGGCCTGAGCGAGACCGCGACCCATCGTTTTTCGTTTGGTGGCTGTGTACTCTCAGTGAGAATGGAGACGAACGGTAGGTACTGCGCATAAAGCAGGTGTGCTAGCCATATCTGCTTCTGGTACTTCCTGCATGGCGCTGATGCTGGTGACGCCTTGCAACAGCGGGCACTATGGACGAGGACCAGAAAGGTGGACGAACAGCTCGAAACGACTAAGTGATTGGTGCACTTACTTAGCACACAAAGAGCCGCCTTGCTAGTATTCAAAGAAGCACACCCGCCATCCGCGTCGCGTGGCGTGGCGTGGGGCTGAACAGTGCATGTGTCGAAGGGCGTATTGGCGGCAACAGCGGCGACGTTGGTTTGCCCGATTGGAAGGATGTCATCATCCTATATCAGTTGTTGACGCGATAATGCGACTTCCAGCTTTCCGTCGAAGTTACTCACTTTCAGTTATTTGGCAGCGATATGATTGAATTTAGTGGCAGCCCCCTAGCGTGCAGACAGAGGCAGGCGGGAAAAAATGCTAACTATCTAGCGGAATGGCTCATTGCTGCGGCACGAATCCAACAATTTGGCCCGAGATGTCGATCTAGCGATTGGAGATAAAGATACACTGTCGATCGATCATTTCGCGAGCTAATCTGAAAATGCATTGAGAAACCTTGAACTCCTACTGTCGCTACCGTTGGCGTCATTCGATGTTCCGACAGATAGGGTCTTTTATTGATATTTAAAATGCATCCGCACGTCTGGCAACATGTACTCATGAGTCTTTCAAACGAGTCTATGGAAGACTCTAGCTATCGTATTTGCAAGGATGGAGGACGCGGGAAGAGGTTAGAGGTTGTAAAACAGGAAACAAAATATAGAAAGAGGTTAGAAAGTTGACGCACGGGAATTAGACCATTAGCGGAGCACGACGATATTCTTCTATCTGAAGGAAAAGCCTATGGAACAAACAGAAGATTGGTATTAATAGCACCGATTCACTATTGCTGAAACGGACCACGCAGACTGAGCTTGAGTTGTCGGGTTCCTTGTGGCCAATTTCAAAGCCACGATCCCATGAGCTGATGACCCGTCATATCATTACTTTTGCGGAAATCTACCAGCAACACTGTTGATATGTATATAAACGCTGAGCCAGCGAGAACCCATCGTACGATCATATACGCATACACACACATACAGAGTCAAAGCAGTAGTTGTTACTGTTGCAGTTAGTATTATTATGTGGTGGTGGCAATAGTGTGATGATTTGCTCGAGTGACAATGATCGGCACGGATAAGTTATTCATCACAACGTCGAAAAATGAACGAGAATCGAAAAGAGAAACTACAATACTGTTAACGGCTACCAAGTTACTCATGTTACTAAGTGTGCGCTTAATTATCTCGTATGTAACGCGATTCATTTCTGCCCGTTCGTTTTCCGTCCTAAATTTTCAGCGGACGCGGTCCAATCGGTGGGTGGCCCCCGGGGCGGAGGTGGCGGTGTTGTCGTCGGATCGATATCGTCCGTTGGGGGGCCGCCCTCGGCCGGCGGAGGGCATGGCGGCGCGGGCGGCGGCGGCAACAATAACGGCGTCGTCGGCGCCGGGGGCGCTGTCCGGTCTCAGGGGCACAAAAGCGGTCGGAACGGCGGCGGGGAACACAAGCCGACCAGGGTGCGAACCGTGCTCAACGAGAAGCAGCTCCACACCCTGCGGACCTGCTATGCTGCTAACCCGAGGCCGGACGCCCTGATGAAGGAGCAGCTCGTCGAGATGACAGGCCTGTCCCCCCGGGTGATCAGGGTCTGGTTTCAGAACAAGAGGTGCAAGGACAAAAAGCGCTCCATCATGATCAAGCAGATGCAGCAAAGCGAAAAGGTAGGTCTAATGAATCAATCTATCTCTATTATTACCAATGAAAATACGTATCATCATGCAAAACTATTTGGACATGGATCAGAAAAATGATTACAGAAAATAGCCATTTAGGGAAAACGGAAAAAATATAAGAATAATCCTTGCCATAAAATTCCCATCACAACGACAGCTTTGCGGCATAATGAATACGACCCCGACAAATCACTGGGGGCGTATGTTAACACTAAATAGGAATTCGACGAGTACGCTCAATATGTAGCACAGTCTTGTACTTGTGCATAGTCGCCCCCTATCTATGCTATACCGAATGCATGAATGAACACAATAACGGTGAATACTTCTATGTTCTTTCTCCTTTGCATTGGACTTTTTTTTCAACAGAAACGGGCAAAACGTCCACGTGTAGGACTTGTGTCAAATAGCCCCGTTGTTGTGTGTTGTGCTTGTGGACGAAATGACCTACGTTATACGGCAGTGTCGTGTCGTTCACCTACCGGAAAAAAGCTTCTTTTGCGGCGGCCGGTTCCTTGTTGGGCTCCGCCAATGATCTCTCGAATGCTGGTGCCAGGGAGGCGTTAGTTCCATTATAGCGAAACGGTTGCCTCTTTGGTGGCTGCTGCATCTGCTGCTACTGTCGCGGTGAGCGAAAATGGATGCGCTTTTGGTTGTACGATTGACAAACGCGATGACAACAAAGGCCGTTAAAGCGAATGATGGTACTGAGGAACCGGTGAACGCGTACCATCGTGGCCACACATATTATAATCTATATTTTTTGCTCATCGCATGCTGCTATTAAACGCATCTAATTGTTGCAAAAGTTCTGCGGCTGTCGGCTGACGAAAATGTACATTTCATACATTGAATCATGCGCGCTTCCATCGAGAATGACGCTTTAACCAACGATGGATGGTCGAGTGCCACCGGCGTTACCATCGCTTTGTTACTCTTTGTTTGTCTGTGTGCGCGTATAGTCGATTGTATTGATAGCTGCACAGGCAATGGACAGATAGACGGTCAGACGGCGGTAGCGCGCGAGGGGTGGCAAAGGTAAACAGAGGCTATCTACTAGGTTAGCTCAATTTTGAGATGGAGCTATTCAGCGTTATTTAGGTTATGAAGGTTAAGCACACATGAAATTGACATTGTCCGTCGATGTGGGGGTTGTGTATGCGAACATTTATCTTGATTTATAAAATGTCGAAGATATCTAGGTCCATAAAGAAATTCTTTGAATCAACACTAAACTTCAAAAGTGACTGAAAAATATGTATTCCTACGAATGAATTTCTTCTGTCGTACTGCTTTCTTGCTTAGGGGAATAGCAAATTTTATATGGCCGTTTGTTGATTTAATCACTCTCTACTGCCGTTTGACAGAATAAGGGGCCTTCAGCGCCTGTTAGCATATAACGAGAAGTCGCCTGATTTATTGATACAACACCACAACCAGTTTTTTTTTTTTGTAACTGGCTGATACACCCCATCGACGACTGCGGCGGAACCGCGAGCGTAAAAAATAAGAAGAGTTAGATATATCAATTACCTGTCGTCATTCTATTTGAGCTGTCCTCGAATGTTTGCGCTCTCCGAAGTGTAGAGACATTTGCCGGCGCGGTTGCTACCCTGCTTGCTTTTTATGCTTGATTTATCTATGCCATTGAATCTAAACGTGTGCTATCCACTCATCTGAGGTCATGCCCTCCAGATCTCAGGCAGTGTGACATTGCCATCGTCTTGTTTCTAGCAGCTGCCAGGGCTAGGCCACTAGCACTAGGGGCAGACAGGTAAACAGGAATAGACTGTGTGTCTCAACGAGCTCAATCTGCTTTGGACATCGCCTATGTTATTTGACGGTCGCATGGGAAAACGTGTTTGCTCTGTTCGGCGGCTTAGGCTAGCGGCCGTCAAATGGGGGCTTACAATCGCTCACAAACACCCGTCGACATCCGATTTAGCTATTTAATTCTGGATAAGTACATTGAGTGAACATTGAGGTTCACTTACGACGCGGCGCAACGCAGGGGGGCAACAAGGCCCAACTGAATCAGCCGACAGAAGTTACGATGACAATCAGATGGGTGATAATGAACAACAAATGAAACTGTATGTTTGAATCTGGCAAGAACATACGAATAACTTACCTATTGAACAATTACAGGTACATTCAAGTGACATAGAGACCAAATAAGAACCTTTGCGGTTACTGACTTCAGTATGGTATCATCTTTATAACATCGAGTTTCTTGTTTGCCTCTCAAATGTAGCCACGTGCAAAAGTATACGTAGCCATCTAAGCCATGTATTTGCCACGAACATAGAAGTACATAAATAAGCTGTCGCTTTTAACTTGCGGCCTTGATGCTTATATGATCGATTCTGGTTTGACAAAACGTTAAACATTTAAGTAGGGTTTACTCCTGCATCAACGACATTTTGTATACACTTTCTTTTTCTCAAGTTACACCATGAAGTGTACACTTAAGTACGACATTACATACAATATTCTGTGGCATCGATTGCTTGAGATTGCTTTAAATGTCACAGGGGCATTTTACTTTGCAACAAAAAATATTTGTTCTGAAGACTTGTGACGAATGCTTGCGTTTCCCTCTTTTGGTTGGAGGCTCCAGCCAATGGGTGCCAAAAACTTCGTGAACTCTAGCTTCTTTGTATTGAAGAGGAAGGTCACATCTTCCATACGATGTTTCTGATCACAGCTCTTCTGCTTGCCACAGTTTGGTGGAGTTTTTGTTACAGCCAATTTTTTCCGATCTGGGCGCTTTTGGCAGTAGTGAGGGCGCGGGGTAGCGACCCATGGCGAGCCGCCCAAATTGCCATTTCTTGAAGTCGGTTTCTCTTGTCCACGGCTGGCCTCCGTTGGTCGCCCTCTCGTGGGCTTCTTTTTGATACCAGTTGTTCCCTGCACGATTCCCTTCCTTTGCCCTTCCGAAGCTCTTGTCTCTTATAGTATCTGCTGTAGCCTAGCAAGCCGAGTCACCGCTGCAAAATCGACGCAACCTCGCTTTTTCCGCCCCTACATCGAACTTCTATCCTGGCGTCAACCCGGGTCTCGCCACTGCACTTAGCTAATGAGGACACCAAGATGGGTGTCTAAGATCTGGCGGCCAGGACAAACAGGGCCGTTTCGTGGGTCTAAGCTAGGCAGACCCGGGGTGGACCAGGGTTCGTTCTGGTGGCGTTGTCGGCGCTAGTTGAAGGCAGATTGAGGCAAGATGGCCACAGCGACCAACCCAACGAGGGAAGTTTGCCGGCTTGTGGAGTAGAATCTTTCAGATAGGTATATAGCTGGGCCACACACACACACGTCCACCATATACATACGCACAAATATATATATATATATATATATATATAGCACAGGATACTTAAGTTGTCCCTTTAGAGACCGAAAGCACTAAGCCTTTCGTGCCTCACTGATACAGCAAAACGCTTTTTAATAATGTTTTACTAAAAAGCCTGATGGAACGGTAAGCAACGTGCGTATCGTTGTATCGTAGAATTAACTGTACGAAGCCATAGGCCCACTGCCGTGCCTCGTGCTAACAGAAGACGTAAATCTCACACAATGTGAATCAATGATACTTCGATTTAGAATGATCGCCTATAACGTTGACAAAGAAAGGTCGATGGGACGTTATGTTTGCTTATATTCACTATCCAGCTTCTGAAAAGCAGCTCTCTTCCGGGACGTTAAGTTTCTGTGAACTTATTTAACCACGAAACGCTGTAATAGTTAAGGAAAAACTAGCTCACTGAACTCTTTTATTTAGTTTAACTTCAATATGCTTACCTGTATATAAACAGTACAATAAAACAATATTTGAACTTCGATACATATATTTCTACTTGGAATTGAATAGAGTGGATACGCATAAGCATAAAACACATGAGATCACCATTTGTTTAAATAAGCCAAAATTTAAAAAAGAAGTTACCACTAGCCGAGTCAAATATTATGACATTATATTAAGGTTTGTTTTACGACAATGTAAGCATGGTAAGTTACAATATATGCAGATGCACATGTTATTAAATTTCCGCTTCAAAAAGTATCGTTAAATCCACATCTGGTGTACCTAGCGGTCATACAGCGATTTGCGCTGGATATATCCTTCCACTAATACAACTAATTGCTTTTGTTTCAAAAACTCGTAAGTCAATATCAGCCGTTTTGGTATTATAGGGCTCGATGAGCCACGACGATTCGGGCTTCTGCGTAGCCTGTACTCAGTAAGGAACGCTGTCTGGCAGCAGAAAAATAAGCCAGGACCCTTTAGTGAGGTGCAGGCCCATAACCCTTCAAAAAGGCCAGGCCCGAACTTATCCAGTGTTGATAAATAAACTTATCCAATATAGATAAATTGCTGCAGGCAAATCTTTCCAATAGACATGTAGACTGCAGAAGGCCGTCGACGCTATCGTTATGTGAAGTGGCTTAAGCGCAATTTTTAGTGATAAGCTTTGCGAGTTGTTAATCGATGCTGGAACTGTTGAAACTGATATTCTCTCTCGGGTACGCGCTCCAAATGACTTAGCACTTGGTGCCAACATGACGCGTGAGTGCGTAAACTTACTAACGTACTTTATAATTTGCCCGTTGAGTAGAGGTGATGTTGATTCATCCGGTCTTCTTCCTCTCCAAAAATTCATAGTTTCTATTTTTCGTATGGTAATTCCTAATCCTATGTCAAAGATGCAAGTGTAGGGAATGGCTGGCCGAGGTCGTCCGCGTACACACTGAAGCTTTAGGTTTTCATTCAAATTCGTTCATTCACATGAGAGGTACATTTGTCTCGAGAAACAAATGAAGCTATTAAATGGCCATATCTATTGAAGCTATAGAGGCAAAGTAAGTTGCTTAGGTCACACACAGTATGCATACAAATATAGATATAATTTGTATTATGTGGCGTGACAAGTTCCATCATCTTTCTTCCTACTTCAACCGTAGCGTGATAACTTGAGCACGAACAAGGT